ATTTTTAATCCATTAAGCAGGGAGAAATCGAAATCTGCATACAGTTCAACATACATTATTCATCCAAAATCTTAACACCCATTAAGCTTTTTTCTTTAAGCAAACTAAACAATAAACCCCACAAAAATTTCAAAGAAAGAAATATCAATTGTTTAAACAAATTTATGAACTGAACCAGCAAAAACAAAGGTGCAAGAGAAGATAAGGAGAGAAGAACCTGTTGTTTGTCACGAAGGGGAGAAGTTGTGAGGTAAGAGACAGTCCAATCATAGAAGACATAAGGGTCACCTGCCAAAGAGCCACTCGCCAAATATCCCAGCATAAAGAAGAAAAAGAAGAAGAAAGAAGCCTGGAAATATGGTGACCCAGAAACCATATCTCAAAAAAGAACAAAAAAATTTGGGCTTTTTATGGTATCTTATCTTCTTTGCTGCAAAGACAGAGGAGCTGTAGTAATACAAGGGTTAACCGAGTTCCCAGTGAGTTCGAGAGTGCAGATTTTGAGTCACATGGGAAAGTGGCACTTCGAAATGGAGACAGCTCGGTTCTGGGTCCCATTCTTTTTCTTTGTCTGATAACTAGACAACTGACCCACCATGAATTACTACTAAGCATAGAATATGGATTACCGATTATGGTTTTTAGAACCTGACCGATTAGTAAATCGGTTATGTTATCGGTTTATTAGTTTAATCGATTGAATCGGTTTGATTGATTGAAAGAATCGGACGACGTCATAATTATTTAAAAAATTAAATAAAAATATCAAAAATATTTAATAAAAAATAATTTTTTATATCACAATTCATATTAAAAGCAAGTCATAACATATATAAGTTAAAAACCATAAAATCAAGTAAAACAAAATGATTCAAATTAACTACAACATAATATTTAAGGTAAAACATATTAAGTAATAAATATAATTATATAACTATAATTAAAAAATAAATTTGGGGCTAAAAAAATCATAATAAAATGATATTGTTTGGTTTAATTTTTTTTTAAACAATCTCACATGGCTAAGAAACATAGAAGATCATCCCAACTAACTTCTATAAATAATAGAGGTAATTTGACATTCAAAATCATAGAGTCTTTTGGTGAGCATTGAGTGAACTATTCTTTCACTTCAATCAAGCTCGAATTTTAGGCTTCAATTGAGCTTCTAAATTTTTTTTTTAGTCAAGCCTTTTCGAGTTCAAGTTTCAATATTATATTTCGAGTTCGAGTTGAACTTGATAATTTTTAGCTCGTGAGTTTGAGTAGAGTTGAGCTTACTTTTAAAGTTTTCATGTTCAAGTCGAGCTCAGCAATACTCGAGTTCGACTTGACTCGTTTAACAAACGACATCGTTTGATTTAATATTTTTAAAAAAAATCTAAATTGGCGGTTTTTTCTAGTTTTTTTCGGTTTTCAGTTGGTCCGGTTTGAACGGTTCAACGGTTCCGGCCGGTTCACTAGTAGCGGATCAACCGGTCTAAATTGAACCGAGCTATACAACGATTCCCGATTGAACCGGCCGATCCGGTCCAATTTTCAAAACCGTGTTACTGATTCATTAAAAAAAGAAGAAGATTTGATCAATGTCTTACAGTCGAGTAGTAAATTCAAGATGTGGGCCAATAAAGTGGGAGGAAAAAGAAGCAGGGTTTGGATTCCAAATTGTTTTAACGGAGAGATTAGGGAGCTTTTTCATGGCAATTTAATCTCTGCGTTCACATAGTTGATTCACACCTATAATAATGCAAGTTTCTGTCACCTTCTTTAAAGTTCTGAATCTGTTATCAGTGTTGATTATTTCTTTGCAGTTCAAGTACCGTAGAGTGATAATTATTGAGTGCTTTTTCCATACTATTTACTCTTTCCAACTACTTGGTCGATCCTTCCATTATATATCCTGATTCTGATGGTAAAAGCTTCTCTTTAAGTCCAATCGGATAATACCAAAATCCATACTCAGCTTTCTTTTAAGCAATCACACGAGCCCTTGCCATTGCTAGAGCATGAACATCATCATGCAGGAAACTAGATTTACTGCATCAACAACACCATGTACTTACAATTGAATCAACCCAAAGTGATACAACAGTAATACTTTTCGTCTTACCAATCCATGAATATTAAGTTCTGACAAAATATAAGTTTAACCACTGTACTAACTTAAATGGTTATTATATCCTTACAAAAATACTATACATATATCATTAGAGATGTATAGAAAGGAGTAGTTAGAACAACAATCTTCTTTAAAAATTTCAGATCATATTTTTTTTCTATTTTTTCTATGTATAAAATTTTATTGAAAATCAATTTTCTCTTTAAAATTTTATAAATTTATACCCTCCTAAAATTTAAAAATTCAATCTCTATCATATTCCATCGGTCCTAACATATCATATGATTATGGCTTAAGAGTTAGAGTTGATTATGTAGTATATCAAATTTATCAATTTTATCTTAATCGTATTTTTATTTTAATTTTATCATCAAAGATATTTAATTACATCATTTTATATAGTTGACTGTGTTGATTAATAAAACCGTTGATTTCTATTGACGTCGAAGTCAATTATTTCCACATCAGATAATTTTACTGACATGTTCATTCGATCACGTGATAATTACAAAAAAAATATATTATTTTTATTTTATCCCTATTCCCCCCCCCCCTAATCCGTAAAAACATGAAAAGAACAAATAAATTCCCAACCCAAAAAACACGATTGTATTTATGCAAGGGAAGAGAGGGGAAAGCGAGCGGTCTGAACCCGGCTAAGTCCGTCGGATTTCACACATTTCTCATCGGAGCTTCGGAAGTAATCACCCTCGATCTGAGTTTTGTTTGCTGAAACATAAAGGATTCGGGAAAATGAAGGGATCTGGACCTCTTGTGCGACTGTGATCGTTGCTTCCACGGTAGCTCTCACTTCATCTTCATCCACCGGAGTCCAACATGTTTCTTTTTCTCCGATCTCCTCCAACAAGGGTTTCCCCCCCCCCCAATGTTTCCTCTATTTTTTTCGTATTGGTTTGCTGATTCTCCCCTTTCCAATGTCTAATGGATGCTTTTTCTCCCATTTTATTTACTTTGCTGTGAGATTTTGACTGCTTAATTCTATTAGTTTCAGTATCTTGCTTTTTGAGTAATCTAGATCGCTCTTTTAAATTTTATCGTGTATAAATTTTGGATCAATAAAATTTTCCGATGCAAGGAGTTTATGTTTTAATGTCTAGTTCTTGATCTTGACATTGAGGAGTCACAGAACAGAGCGTCGATGAATTGTACGGTCTTGGATAAATTCGCGCCACGATTTGATGGGTTGAAGTCATAGGTTAATTAAAATTAAAATAATAATTATTTTTTTATAATTACCATGTCTTCAAGTAATCACGTCAATAATATTATATGAAATGAAAATAGTTGGTGTTCATATCAATAAAAATAAACGGTTTTATTAATCAATACGATTAATAATATAAAATAATGAAATTAAATAATTTCAAAAATAAAATTAATACTAAAATATGATAGAAGCCAAACTCTGACGCTTAAACCTATAATTATCCTTAAAATTGGCCATTCAGTGAAAGTTCTTACAAGATCAGTCTCTGGGCATAAAGGGAAAAAGAAACCAGATTTTTTTTAGCTTTTATCCGTTCAATCTTTATATATTACGTATTATCAAATCACCTACAAAAACCACCATTGCTAAAAAGCTTGACCAATCAACAATTTTATTCTGATTCATGGATGAAACACGAACAGAAACAATGACTCCAACATAAGCTCTCATTCACCTGCTTTTCTCTTACACAACAACGGCTTCAGTTCGTATCACAGCTCTCAGACATAGTGATGTTCGCCGTAAAGTCGTTTCTTACGCTAGTTACAAAGACTTGATGTCATTGTCTTCGTCGTTAACGGCCATCGCCTCCCTCAATAGCGGCAATGACGCAAGAAAGAATAGTGATTATCCTGTAGGCTACTTCCGACAGACGATTCACAAGAGAAAATTCGCCCAAAAAATCAGAGAAAAAAAGTCTCTAGGGTTTAATAAAATATTATAAAATCAAAAACCATCCAAAAAGCAGTCCACAAGCCGGACTGTTATAGCAAAAAAATCGTCTTTATTCGAATTTTGCCAAAAATAGCAAAATCCCGAAAATCACTCTAAATTGAAATTCGAAATAAAATAAGCAATCTCCCAAAAATCCGGCCTAAATCGAATTTAAATTGACTTCCTAATTAGCAATCGAAATATTACCATAAATAGTAAAAAATAACTAAATCTAGTGATTCGGAGGGGAAAACGGCAGAATTTGAGGTTGAAAAAAAGGCCACACATGTGGAGAACGTGCGCGTCGAAAAGAGCTTTCCGGATTGGGGTCTTATGCGCGATTCTGACACCTGTAGCCAAAGTTATGGCCAAAAGACTGAAACATACTCAAAACGACCCCAATGAGGAATATGTCACAATCAATTCCCGCCTTTGCGCTGATCTGCCAACTCATAGTATCTCAGCACCATCAACGTGCAATCTGACAGCTCAGCATCATCTGTCTCGGATCCCCTGCATCAGGCAATCAGTTCTTCGAAAGTATAAATCTTCAATATTATAAGATTAAAATGATGAATTACGATAATCGAAAGAATGTCAATAATAACAATAATGATATTTCGACTTCTAATATTAATTAAAAAAATTCAAAAATCAATTAATTTAACAGGATATGATATTAAAAATATTTTAATCGAAAAACTTGGCGATGAATACCGGTAATTAATCGCAAAAATGAGAAAAAAATTCAATGTTTTAATTATTTTTATATGTTATATTTATACAAGGTGATGATTTAAGAAACTAGGTGTACAGTAGCCACTTACCAATAGTTGATCATTCTCCTAATCCTCTCTGTACCCAAGCTGGCAGCTATGTCTCCTTCTACATATCTTATCTTCACTTCTTTCTTATCCCAATTTCCCCTTAAATCCTTACCCTAAATTCCCTCCCCCAATCTTCATTCTCTAGCACAAAATTTCCCAACAACAAAACCAAAAATGGATCCTTCAATGTTTTCAACCATGTTTCTTCACTTCACTTTCTTCTTCATGGTTGTCAATGGCGAACAGGATTCTATTTACGGGATCCTAAAAGCCCATGCACTTCGCACGGGGCTTCTTCCCAAAGGGATAACCCGGTTTGACTTCGACGATACGGATTGGTTCGAGGTTCATTTGGATCAACCCTGCAAGACCAAGTTCGAAAGCGAGATGCACTACGATAGGAACGTGTCCGCCACTTTGAGTTATGAGCAGACCGACAAGAACACGTGGATAAATCAATCATGATTCGATCTTCAATAACGAAACTGTCATGGTTCATTTCGTTATTTATTACTGGTATAGAATTGTGGAAGGCCATTGTATGCTTGAACATGTTTCAGTTGCTTTACTGATTATTTTCGAATCTTGATTTCCATGTTGATTGTATACCATTAGTTATATTAGTGAAATGAAGGAAAAAATGGTCTAAAGGGCTTATGCTTCCATTTTTATGTTCAGGTCTAAACCTCGAGGAGATTGGGTTTCATTGTCAGAGTTTGAACTCGGGTTTGTGACTAACATTCTCGTCTCCAAGAAAGTTTCGAGTTTTATGTTTTACCTTTTGTTTCGTTCGGCTTCGGGTATAGCTGTTCGCCAAATTGGTGAACTTTTGGGCACTACCATATGCTTCTTTTATATGCATGCAATGAAAGTAGAGAGATACTTATGAAAATAGCATGTTGTAGCATTCAAGTTATTGGCTTTTGGATTGGTTGATATTCATAACCGGAAATCACTGCATCATCCTCAGTTAACCATTTTCCCCCCTGGATGTAAAAGCATGAAGATCGCCAAAGATATGCTGCAAGCTAGCACTTTTTCTTTGGCCTTCAGCAGCTTGTGAATTGTTGAATAGAAATTGGACGTGCCTATTCTTTAAGCACCCGTGCTTTGTGAATGTTCGAATTGGTCAAACCTTTGTAGAAACCAATGTGAAAAATGGGTCTGATCTGTCTTGATTTCCTGTATGTAAAAGCGTTTGGGCATCATTGGAAAACAAGAACTCATTGGAAATTGGACACTTGTACTTATTTTTTTTGTTTATTATTTTCATATTAGACATTTTTTAGACACACAATTTCGTCCCATATATGTTACAATATTTATATATTATATTAAGCATACAATATATCTATAAATATTGATTTATTTTTTATTACATTTTTTTAGGCTCGACTGGTGCCCCAAATACAAGCAAGCCCGTTTGGCCCAGACCCAACAACAACCCACGTGCAAACCAGTAGAATGTTAGGGTTGCCAGAAACCCTAACATCATCTCATCCAGCCGCGCCGCCTTCACCGAGGTTTCCTCACGCAGCACGCCTCCCTTCTCGTCCCACAGCCGCACGTCTCTTATCTCCATCAGCCCGAGTCCTCTGACGCAAGAATCTCGGCCATCACCAACAACCAACATAAGTATTTCACTCAGATTAGAACACTAAAAATAGGCTTGTATTTTCACTATAAATAAGTGTAACACCCATTCGAATAAACACACAAGTATTACACAAGAAATACCAGAGAAATACGATCAAAGAAAGAGTGATTTCGAGGCTATTGTAAACGATTCGAAGCAATACAAGGTGAAAGCTTTTACCTTTCATTTTTTTCTTCACTTGCATGCGTTGTTACTCGCGTTTTTTGCTTGAAAACCCCAAAGAAAAACGTTTTAGCCGATGACCAAAAGAGAGATTTCGAAACTTTGACTTCATATCTACGCTCCCTAGAGGCTATTTTTCAAAAACAAATCGCATTTTTGAAATGAGGGTGTGAAAATATGTTGAAAAAATGAAAACTTTTTTATTTTTGCCGCCGATGAACGGCGGCCGACGAGGCGGCAACGGTGGCCAGAATCTGGAATTGGTGGTGGCGTTCAAGTGTTCATCAAGAACACATGAACTGGGCAGAGAAAAAGGAGAGAAAAAGGGAGGGGTTCGGTGAGAGAGAAGAGGAAACGAAGTTTTTTTTATAAAAAAAAAGTTGACTTTTATATTGAGCCCGCTCGACCCACGCATCGACCCAATGGGTCTTCTTGACCCGCGCGTTTCTGCACATTAAAGGGTAAACTACGCAATTGGTCCCCCTGGTTTTAAAATAGTTTCAATTTTAGCCCCAAATCAATTTTAATCCCCTCATTGTGTTGAGTTAATCGATCGACGGAATCGGCCAAGAGGGGGGTGAATTGGCAATTAAAAATTTCGTGGAAGCTTTTGCAGAAAAATTGAAAGTAATTGCATAGCGATTTACAGTGGTTCGACTTTCTCAAAAAAAGTCTACGCCCACTACCTTAGCTATCCACACTAAGGATTTTCCAACAAATTCACTAATTTGTTCTTTCTTTTGAGGCCAAAGAGATAACCTTACAAAATCCCTCAAGAGTATACCCCAACTCTTGAGAACACTCTTTTTCCCAAAGAGAAGATTACAAATTTGCAAACTTACAAGAAAACCTCACAAGGTAAGATGTTTGCACAATTCTAGAACAAGAAAAGAACACTCAAAAATAATTACAAATGAGCACAAATGGTGTTCTTGAAAGCAAAATGAATATTGAAAGGAAAATTGGCTTGATTTGCATAAACTTGGTGTTTGATGCTTTCTCTCTTGTTTCTCTATGATTTCTTGTTGATCAAGGGCTTCAGAACCTGTTTAAATACACCTTGAATCTCTTTTGAACGTTGGGGATGATTAGTGAAGATCATATAGCCGTTTTAGTGTGAAAACAATTAATAAAACAGTTTGGAGCGTGGGGGGAATCGGTATCCCCTATGGGAATCGGTTCCCTAAGTGTAAAATTCAAATATTTCGACCGTTGAACAGGGGGGAATCGGTACCCCCTATGGGGGAATCGGTTCCCTCCGAGCATTCTGGAAATCTTGGAGCCAAACCATTTAGGGGGAATCGGTACCCCCTTGGGGGGGAATCGGTTCCCTCTGAGCAATCTGGAATTTTTGGCTTTGAAATGGTTCGAAATACTTTGAAAGATTATTTTGAAATTGTTTTAAGATTAAAACTTAATTTTACACTTAAGTAAGGATTAAAAATGATTTTTGAAATATTTTGAGTAATGTTTTGATATTCGAATAATTATATCGAATATACTTAGAAAATCATTTTGGAAAATCATTTTGGAAAATCTTAAAATTCATTTAACTTAATTTGTTATATCGAAATATCAAAATGTTTTCAACAATCTCCCCCTTTTTGATATAACAAAACATTTTAGTAATTTTAAGATTTTGAAATCAAGTTTTGAAATTACTCCCCCTTACTTTAACACTTCTCCCATTTATCATTTAAAAACACTTTAACACTTCTCCCCCTTTTTGTTAAATCAAAAAGACATTTTAAAGAATTTAAACAAGGTTTTGAAATCAGTTAGCCAATTGATTATATATATTATAAGCTGCTAAGATCACAAGCAAGAGAAACGTTAGCCATTAGTTTTCATAATCAATATTCATAATTAATGTGAAATAGCAAAATTGGTCATAATGCAACTGATATGTAAATGATGCAAAAATAAACATTAAGCTCAAAATGAAAGTGAAAATCAAACCAAATATATAAGCATATAAGTTCAAATATCCATTTATCCAACAAATTCAAACACCCAAAATAAAACAATCCATGAACATCAAAATGTTTCACAATTAAAAGTTCTGAGTTCAGGACGATAAACCCATTGACCCAAAGACCGAGTTTGATAAACAAATTACTAAGGAGACAACCATAAACCAAGGTTTCTATATTCTTGGAAGGAACAATATTTATGGAAACTCACTAAAAATGATCTGTGGCAGATAAATCTTCTTTCTATGTTGGATACAATATATCCACCATATATCTATGTTCCTAAGGGAGGAGTACCTACCTCCGGATGGTCTAAACCACGAAGAGATTAAATAATAAAGGAATCTATCACGATGAGTTCTTAGGGTACTCTCACTATCCTTAGACTTATAGGGTGAATCCACAGTCTCTTTTTCATTAAACCTGAGGTATCTAGTCCAAAATGGGTAGCGATTATGCCGGAGTCAATAAAAATGAATTGTCCTAAAAGATAGGATCAAATTCCTATAGTTTCAGATCGGAGCTCGTTTTGGACACATACCACATTGGAATAGAAAAATACGGACTAATTGATGATAAACCAAAGGTTTGAGTTAAAAGAGTTTATCAAACTTCTAGGATTTAAGAATAGGAAGATATTGGAAGTCCATATCTTCTATAGCTTGGATCGAAGGGATACACTCTTCCCAGATTTTATATGACTCAAAACAAGTATGGTACATATGGTATAGATCTTCTCCATAACCAGGTACGTTGAAACAAGAGTTCATAATGGTCATATTTGGGTTATTTGGATTGGGTGGAGGAATAAGAGGTCGGTTTTGACTTGAGCGACTAGACAATGTCCTAGGTCGTTTAGGATTTGACATGGTTTAAGAATTGGAATAGAATATGTAACCTGCAAATTTAAAAAAAAACACATGTATGTAATTCAATCAATCCCAAAACTTAATTGAGTCCTCAATATTTCAAGGTTCTCTAAATCAATCCTAATGGGCAAAGTTTTTGAAAACTTTTAGAAAATACGGTTTTGAGAAACAATATAGTTTTCATAACAACAACATAATTCAATCAAAACACAATTAATGCCCGATCTAAAGTTCATCCTAGAACTAATTAAAACTAGTTCTATGTTTATAAATTGATGAAATAGAAGTTTTGGAAAAATACCTTGAAGGATTTCGGATTTGAGTGAGATTAGATGAAGTTTGCACATTTTTTTTTGATGATTCCAACAGGTTTAGAGGATGATATTTGAAGTGAATTCCGATTAAAAACGTTGATTTGAGGCAAGAATGGAGATTTGAGAGAGTAGAGGTAAGAAACGGCGTGAAGGAATAAGAGAGGGTTTGAGCAAATATTGGGTTCTGCCCGTGCTAAAACCAGAACCCCAGGGGGGTATCGATTCCCCTGTGGGGGGAATCGGTTCCCCTTCAAATGGGGAATCGGTTCCCTCAAGGGGGGATCGATTCCCTCTGCACCAAAATACTAAAATTCGATTTTAAACACATAAAATGCTAAATTAATCTCCTCTAGTGGTATTGGCAACTCATATATTGAAAATTAATCATGTTCAAACAATTCAATTAATCTTTAAACGATATTTGAACATAAAATTAATTTTTTTTATCAAGAATCATAAACTCCCCCTAACTAATAGCAATAAATGCAATCAAAATTTACTATTATAAGCATTTTTCATTTATTATTAAAAGTGCTAAAATTATTTTAAACACTAAGTGAAGATAGGTCAGTTAAACCTAATTATCTCCTAAGTGTCCAAAACCTTTCCTTATCTAAGGGTTTTGTAAAAATATCCGCTAATTGATGCAAAGTATCAACAAATTCTAGAACAACATCTTCCTTAGTGACATGATCTCTAATGAAGTGATGTCTAATTTCAATGTGTTTAGTTCTAGAGTGTTGGATGGGATTTTTAGTGAGACAAATAGCACTAGAATTGTCACACTTGATAGGAATGGTACATACTTCAATTCCATAATCAAAAAGTTATTGTTTCATCCATAAAACTTGTGCACAACAACTACCGGCTGAAATGTATTCCGCTTCAGTGGTAGATAATGCAACACAATTTTGTTTCTTTGAAAACCAAGAAATCAACATATTTCCAAGGAATTGGCAAGTACGGGAGGTGCTTTTCCTATCTAATTTGCATCCTCCATAATCCGCATCAGAAAAGGCATGCAAGCTAAAGCTAGAGTCTCTAAGATACCAAAGTCCTAAACTAGGAGTTTTCTTAAGGTATCTAAAGATTCTCTTAACAGCTAGTAAATGTGATTCTTTAGGACATGATTGAAACCTAGCACACAAGCAAACACTAAACATAATATCCGGTCTACTTGCGGTTAGATAATGCAAAGAGCCAATTATTGACCTATATAATTTAACATCTACACATTTACCTCCTTCATCTAAGTCAAGCTTTGTTGAAGAGCTCATTAGAGTGTTATGAGGTTTCCCATTTTCCAGTCCAAACTTCTTGAGCATATCTTTGACGTACTTAGCTTGATTAATGAAGATGCCATCTTTTCTTTGCTTGATTTGGAGTCCCAAGAAAAATGAGAGCTCCCCATCATGCTCATCTCAAACTCACTTTGCATTAGCTTAGAAAATTCTTGGCAAAGAACATCATTAGTAGAACCAAATATTATATCATCAACATAAATTTAAACTACTAATAAATCTTTACCTTTTCTCTTTAAAAACAATGTAGTGTCAACCTTTCCTTTTAAAAAACCTTTTTCAATTAAAAAATTTGACAATCTTTCATACCAAGCTCCACCAAGCTCTAGGAGCTTGTTTTAAACCATAAAGAGCTTTTGTCAATTTTAAAACATGATCCAGAAAATTTGAATCTTCAAAACCTGGAGGTTGTTCCACGTACACTTCTTCTTTTATAAAACCATTTAAAAATGCACTTTTAACATCCATTTGATATAATTTAAATTCATTGAAACATGCAA